GGGGCCCCGGTTCGAACCCCCCCCCCCCCCCTACACACCTGTCGCCCCGTCAGCGTCGGTGGGTTTCCCGGGGAGGAGGCGTCGTCATCGGCCTTGAGAAAGGCCACGAAGTTGCCGAGGAGGCCCACGAGGGCCTTCCGCTTGGCGCCGGCTGACTCTTGCTGAGAGGCCGGTCGGGTGCGCGGCGGCAGTCCCTGCTCTTCGGAAACCGTCGCCGCAGCGCGGTCCACGGCGAACCCGACCGTCGCTTTCGTCATCGCACCTACCACCTACGAATAACCGGCGGGGGGGCGGGCGGAGGGTTACTTATGTCAATGCATGCCGTGTAGTCGTTAGAACATTGACCTCGCATGCCGCGACGGAGCGATGTATGTCGGGTTTTCGCCGGCCCAGGCTACGTTTCACAAGGGTGAACCAGAAGCGAACCGGGGGGGGGGGGTAGGGAGAGGTGAGCGATCGCTCTCGGACACGGGTGACCCTATTTGCAGGATGGTCCTGCAACCGAAATGCTGCAGGATGGAAAACGCCTCCAGAACCAACCCACCACAAAGCCAGAATCAAGCAGCCAACCAAGACACACAGAAACACAGTGAAACACAGACACCTGCTCCACAGACCACACGAAACCAGCACGAAACACACAGCCCACAACCGGGCAGACTACACACAGCCCACACAGCAGACATACAAGGTTGAACCAGGGGTTGTACCTCTCTCTGTCTCCGCCCCGTGATGCTGACTCCCAGTTCCAGTTCTTTTACCTCGCATAGCGTGTAGAGAGACACATTATCAGCGTGTCGGTGTTTACCCGTTTACCCCCCTCCTGTGTGACCCTGGATGGTTGTAGTGTTGTAGTTGTACGCATAAATACGCTGAAAAAGTGTACTACTCTACACACACTGAAAAGTGTAGATACTCTACACACACTGAAAAGTGTAGACTAGTACACGTCTCTCACCACGAAAAATGGAGGGGCTGTCGCCATAATAAATTGAAGGACGAAATCACACACACGCGCACAGAGAGAGGGAGCAGCAAAGGGCTCCAGACTACAGCAGTACCTGTGGATGATATAAATTGGCTTGCGGACCCCTCGAGTCCATTTTATTTTGAGTGTACCTTTTTAGGGTAAGTTCGCCTGTGACCACGGGAATCGACCGCGTCAAGTATTGGATCAGTACGGACAGTTATGAAGGCTGGGTAGAGAGATCGAAACGGTTTTTTTAAGTGACAACAATTGTTTTGAGGCCACTGCTGTGTGAAGTACGGGGGGGGCTTTGGTATAGGAAATGAGCGGATGGGTGTTCACCAATGCAATGAACAAGTTGGCATGAAGCCTCGTGGAATCGTCCCCCCCGCCCTCTACTTCGACGACGCTGCTGCTGTCCGAAAGCAGGTCGTCATCTCCACCCAAGGGCAGCTTCCTCCCGATAATATCCATGATGTATGTGGTTTGTGATGGTGGTCTGTGGAGCAGGTGTCTGTGTTTCACTGTGTTTCTGTGTGTCTTGGTTCGCTGCTTGGTTCTGGGTTTAAGGTGGGTTGGTTCTGGAGGCGTTTTTCATCCTGCAGCATTTCGGTTGCAGGACCATCCTGCAAATAGGGTCACCCCTCGGACACAGCAGCGGTGCCGGTGGCTTGTGTGTCTACTGCCGCTGACAAGCATATGACTGCGGGTTCTCAAGCTCGAGAAAGCCAGTTGACTCCAGCAGAAATCGCGAGAATATCAACCTTGGTTTTAGTAGGGGGTGCGGGGTTGGGTTACCAAACCACCCTTTCTCTCTTTCATCTATTTAATAATGACATTCGCGAAGGCGGTCTCGGTGCAGCGCCCCCCACGAACCTCGGGTTCCGCCGCAACACAAAAATCTTCCGAATCCATGGGGCAATGGCAACGGGTATGTAACCTCTCAATACATGAAAACCACCCTACAAGCCGGTCACACACCGTATCTGCCGAGCACACATACACGTATAATTGCTGTATCCTGTACGCATGCATATACGCCGTCTCACTGTCATCAAATCTGCAACATGCGAGCATGTCGCCGCGTGTACCTGTGCATAGCAAACCGTACAGCAGCACAACTTGTTTGGATGTTGCTCAAACAATATCAAACCGAAAACGTCGAAAACGCAGGGCCGCACCTCTGCCGCAAGCTCCATCTTCTCCTCCTCCTCCTTGTCTTCGCCAGCGGCGGCCATGAGGCAAACCCGATTCCTAGCGTAGCTGATGCCCCCGCCGCCTGCTGACAACGCCGTCCGACCGCCGCTCTCAGACGCAGCCAGGCGGAGTCGACAGTCGCCAACAAAGGCGGCGGGCGGTGCTGCTGCTGTCTCACCCCTGACAAGGAGCAGCAACGTGGAGAGCAGCATGCCCAGCGGGATAAGCTGGCGATGACGACCGTGGTGATAGCAGCAGCATTGGTACGTACGCCGTACACAGCGCGGTGCTGGAGTAGTACAAGCGCTGCTGGCACATGAGTGTCCACACCAGAGTCTCCATGGGAGTCGGCCGCCGCTCATCATCGTCATCTTCGCGTTGATCGCCATCCTGGCAGCTTGCTGGGCATGTCCCAGTCGGGAAGGAAAGCAGACAGGGCCCAGCAGCCCAGGCTCTATCAACTGCTGGCGCACAGGCGACAGCAGTGAGTATGATATGCCTTGTCTGTTGTGTTGGTTGTGCCTCTCAATCTCTCAATGCCTCTCTGTTACGGGGGGCTCGCAGAGGAAAACTGAATCGATAGCGGGGTATAGGCCTGCGGTGCTGGCTCTCCCGGTGTGACTGGACTTCATGTTCATCATGTTGAATGTGATGTCATGTTAGTCTTCGCAGGTTCGGTGGATGTCCAGCGGGTGGGCCTCTCGAACAACCGCCGCTGCAGCATGCCTGCATACGTTTTCCACACCGCTACTGCTGTAAGCCCCCCTTCTTCTACATAGTTTCCCGCGCTGCGATCATGAAGTTCGGGAAGAACCTCAGCAAGTCATTCGTGCGCGGTCGGAGAGAGCGGTACGAGGAGCACCTGCACGCGGCCAATCTTCGCGAGAACCTGACCCACGAAGAGTTTAGCGTGCCCGTCGACTCCATCTACGACTTCTCGTGGGTGCTCCTTGCTTAACCCAGTAGCAGCAGAGTGACAAGAACGGCGTGCTAGGTGTGCAGTGTTTTCTCTAAGGTCGGCACTGCTGGTGAGAAGCGGCCTGAGCGGGTTGATCGGAACTATAATACTTGCTGTTGCCGCTCAACAGCCCTCGATGTGTTTCGTAGCTACTAGCAGCACACGGCAGTTACTCCCGCAGGAGTGCAGCAGGGTGGATGGTGGACGGCACAGCCTCGGCATTGGAGATAGAGAGAGAGAGCTGAGCATTCCATCCTATGTATGTATTTACAGCACGATACGCGTGGACGGGTACGGAAACGCGGCGCAACCTCCGCTGTTGGCTGTTGGATGACTGCTGTGGGTATATCTCGAATGGGTAGTCTTGCTGCGTGTGTATATATATGTACTCCCCAAACCCAAAAACAATTAATTAAATCAAACACCCCCATATAATTCATCTTTTGTTCTGTCAGCACACCAAGTTTGTCTTCGTGCTGCTGTAGAGCAGTACAGGAGTAGCACAGCAGACTGGTAGTTTTTTCAGCAGCAAGCAGCAGAGGCAGCAACACTGTATCCACAGCCCGCATAGATAGCTAATCGATAGACACCGCCGTATCATGGCTGCCTTGCCAGCGTGGTAGGGTTTCCCCCGCCTTGGGTTGATGGGGAGTTAGTTTTGTGTGGTGTAAGGAACATGAAAAAATTCATAGCGGTGTGCTGCTGTAGCATGCAAAAATACGCGTCGTTTGTTATGTAGCAACGTACAACAACAGCGGCATGATATCAGGACCAAATACCGCATGCTAGCGGACCTGTACCGGCTGTTCTTTTGCTTTGCGATGGTGCCTGGGCGGACGTGGCCTGTGCATGTCCAAAAACTCAGGTGTTATTATTTATCACACCTTGGGCGTGCTTGATTCTTATCTCGACCTCTTTAATGTATGGCCGCCTACAAGCATCGTGTTCCCTGCTCCCCCAACACGGTACATCCGAAGAGGAGCCAAAGCGGCCCATCCACTAGCACATAAGATGATGCCTGCAGGCAGTTATATCTGTTTAGATGTCGTTGTTTCTCTCTCTGGTCTGTCTGTCTGCCGTCTGTCTGTCTTTTGTCTGTCTATCTATCTATCTGTCTGTCTGTCTCTGTCTGTCACTCTCTCTCTTTCTTGCTCGCTCTGTGGGGCTCTGGGTGTGCACGTGTGTATGAAGCGTTTTTGGCGACAAGCAACAAGCACTCCAAGATCATCAGTTCTTTGGCAGTGGTATGCACACATAAAAATGCAAAATGCGTAGACATACAGATACTTTCTGACGCTACGAATTCATTGTTAATCTGTCTCAGACTCTTTTCTATGATAGAGATGGATTTGTTGTGTCATATTCAGAAAATAAAAAAATGCATACATGAAGAGAAATAAAGAGGCCCCATCACCGACACCCAAAGGCCATTGTGCATACTAAACCTGGATGCACCTCTCCAAAATCGAAAATACACGAGTGGACATAGAATTCCGCCTGCAATTTTGGGCCACATGATTCCTGGTGCTGACGAAATACGTAAACTCGAAGAAAAATACTCGTATCTCCACGATGGATTGCGGACCGGTCGCCCCGGAGGTTTAGTTAGTGAACTCGTGCGAAGGTGTACTTGTACCGAATATGGTAAAAGTCCATCGAGGGATACCTTGGGAATCGTGTCCTCGTCAAATCGGAGCTCTCAGATTGAGAGAGAGGCAAAATAGCGTAGTACTACATACAAATGCATGTAGTACGCACGAACGGCGAGAGACGAGTGTAACAGTATAGAACGGGGGGGGTTTCGTACGGGGGTCCCGCAACCCCCGCAAACTTGAAATACTTGGCTAATTAAGGCACAGCTCAGCCGAGGATCCTGCGCTACACTCAACATCTACCTAACACTGACGTTGGGGACGAAATGAGAAATTAAGCCTCGACCCAATTTTGACGCTTCAGATATATATGCGGACCTGCACTGCTGTACTATGCACCCCAAAACCTTAGCTTCAGTCGTATGCGTCTACCAAAAAATGGCTTTCCAATCCCCACATGTCCACACCTGTGACCTGCTGTCTCGCAGGCACGGAAAAGATGCGAAGGAAGTCGGAGGGTTTGGAGAGGTGCAAGTGGTGAGCCACCGCAAGACGGGAACGAGATATGCCATGAAGACCGTCAAGCTGTCGAGCGTCAAGAGCGAGAAAGCCTTCGACTTCATCATGAAGGAAGTGGATCTTCTCAAGACCCTGGACCACCCCAACATCGTGCGCCTTCAGGTGTGTGTGTGTTTTTCTACCGCACAACCAACTCAATCCGATATGGTGCCTTCAGGTGTGTGCGTGTTTTTTCTACCGCACAAGCATTGAATAAAATATGGTTGGAGGATCTGGATTGGGTCACACTGCCGTGAAAAAGGTAGTGTGCTGTGCCGTG